GCTTCGCTGCATCGCGTTTATGCTCATTCAACAGCCGTTTATACAATGCCTATACCATGTAAATGGGCTATTGAGCCCAAGAATGTTACATATATTTATGTAAATAAGTAATAAAGTTTTAATATTAAATTTTTATGATTGTCCATATGCTCCGTGCCACATTGTGACACCGAAGATGCAATAATTTTTGCTATTAAGGCAACATTATCTGCTTGCGATAACTTAACAAGGATTATGTTTGGAAGATTTTATTGGTAAGAAGCAAAATTAAGAATTGAAGTACTAGGTAAAATACCATTGAAAATAATATCATTATTCACTAAATATTATGCATATATTGCATGCATAGATGAGTCAGCATTAATTCAGATGGTGAGCTCTTCAACATGTAACATTTCACAGGCAAGAAGTCAGATATTAGCACATCTTAGGAAACAAAACCCATTCCATGCCGATCTTCACTGCTCAGCGGTCGAGCACACCACGAATTATTCGAACTGTGATTACGTTTAATAACTGGCTTTCAGTATTTCCAATTCAATCAGAATAAATGCTTTCAATTTTATTACTTTTTTGTGAAATTTGTCACATCCGTAAGCTATTTAATTTTTTCGGAGGACATGTCTCTAGAAATAACACTATGTAACTCTGGGGTATATTTAAGATGAACGAATAGCTTCCGAATGTAATTTTCTGCTAAATGAACTCGTTTAAAAATTTTCTTCAGTTTCAAGTGCGTTATTTTGACCGTTAATTTGTATCTACAATTTTTTATTATATGAGCGTTGATGCATCAATTGCCAGATGATGATTTTTCGTAACTGCTTCTAGACACGTAGAAAAAATTGGCCTGCCACACTGAAATACTGTAATATGAAGAAATAAATAAAGTTCACGCAGCCCTAAGGGCAGTTACAATTTGATTGTGAATGCCTCTTCGCCAACAACTGCACAACAAATGTCAACAACTGCTGGCAAGCAGTTGTTGGCATTTTTAAGATCCACACTTTGAAGTCCCGGCTGTTATTAATAAGAACTTTAAAAGAAATCTTTTAAACTTCTTCATGAATTATGGAGTCTAGGACAGAATTAGCAAAAAAATCTATTCAGTTATCACCATATGAACCTAACATTATAGGTCCTCGGGCTAAACTTCTGACATTTACTCCAGCAAATCAAATATAGATAGTCTCACTCCGGAACTAACTTCCCGCAAGACGTTTTCATTTTGTTTTAATATTGAATCGATTAAAGTGTTATAAAATTTCATATATTTGCAAATTTAAAGGTTATTATTTTTCCCCATTTGTTGAATGTTTGTGCACAAGTAATTAAGAGGGCGCCACTCGGCAAACATTTGTTACACACTGTGCATAATAATATGTGTACGTTTCATCCCAATTTGTCTACATTAGTAAAAAGTGTACAATATGTACACATGAACAGTTTTTTAATACAATATTACTCAAAAAATACTTTTGTCCATAAAGTCGAGCGTCCATAAAGCCATTAGCCCATGATGGGATCAGCGATTGCCGGCGCTGACATCAGAGATTGCCCTATGAAGGAATTTGCAGTCGCCCATTTAGGTATCAGCTGTTGCCTATATCGGTTTTATCTGCGATTACCCTAATTAAGATCAGCGTTCGCCCGCTACGGCATCAACAGTCGTTTACGAAGGCGTCCGCGATTGTTCATGAAGGGATCACCGATTGTCGGCGAAGATATCAGCGATTGCTTATGAAGGCATTATCAATCGCTGACAAAGAGATAATGCGATTTTCCATGAAGGCACCTTATATAGTTAGCAAAAAGATCAGCTATTGTCCATGAAAGCATCATTTTTTGCGAAGACGTCAGCGCTTGCCCATGAAGGCGCCATAAACGGCTAAGAAAGAGATCAGCGATTGCCCATGAAAGTATCAATCAATTGTTTGTGAAGGCGTCAGCAATTGCCAGTGAAGGAAGGCACATACCGCCCATTTCGGAAAGCCTGGAACAGCGCAGGTGTGCGGATATAAGGAAGAGGCCGTCGTAACCCGGAACAGGCGGCCGCTCGCTCCGTTTCGGGATCGCTCCGAGCAACGCTGTCCGCTACACGCAAACGAGATACGAATAATTGGCGCTCGCAAAGTGTTTGCTGTCCTGTTTTTACCTGCAAATAATATGGCGAGGGATAAATTTGACTTAGAAGGATAGTAAGCGAATAAATTGAATTTTAAAATTTTAAATCGCGCCAAATTTCTCGGATTTTAGATCTAACACTTGGTTGTCTCAGAAACCTCGAACGTGTACATCGTTTAATGTCATTCCTTCCCATTAAAATGTTAAGCAAGGCATGATTGGAGAATACTCACTATTTGAACGAAACCTACATCATATATAATTTAGAAAAATTAAAAGTGTCTTCTGGTTGTGAGCGGCACAAGTTAAATCAAATGAGGTAATTAAACTTCACAGTTTTGCTTCATGTGTATCCCAGCCAGACAAGAACGTTGTCTGGGTGAAGCGACAACATTAGACACGAATGCTCCATGCACGTAGCAACAGTCGGACGCTGTGGAATTATATGAATAAATTTTAAATCACTTCTCTTCCTACTGTCTCGCTCGTAGATTTTTGAGATCCTCACTTTGAAGTCCAGGCTGTTATTAGAACTTTAAAAAAACTCCCTAACTTCTTTATGAATTATAGAGTCCAGGACACAAAGAGCGAAAAATCTATTCAGTTATTATCATATAAACCTAACATTAAGTCCTCGGGCTAAACTGCTGACATTTACTCTATAGCGAATCAAGTCGGTCTGAGTTCAACGATTTGAACTGAGCTATAATTTGCTTATGAACTTCTGTAAGCCAACAAGGGCAACTCGAATGTAGATCACAACCTTGACTTATTAAATGGAATGAAGCTTGGATAAACGCACAAAATTTACGAATGATAAGCCTTCGACTAAGTTTACTTTGTTATCCCAAACGCGGTGGAAAAATTATTTCACTTACGAATAATTGAGCGAAAATTTTTGTGGAGACGAAATTTTATTTAACAAATATATTCTGTTTTATTGAGAAACGTAAACAAGCGCGAATTGCGAGAATAATTTAATAAGAATCATTAATTAAAATATATTTGATAGTAATTCCAAAGATTAAGAATCAGATGAATCTTCAGCGCCGTTCCCTGGCTTTTATATTGAAAATTTGTAGAGTGAAATGATTCTTCAATTTATTAAAAATGGTTTTAATTAAAACATACGAATTTTTTTCTAATTAAAATGTTAAATTTAGAAATAATAAATTCGTTTCATAAATTGTTAGTATATAATGGAATTAAAACCCAGAAATTCCTCCTGCGTAGTCAGTTTTGTTTTTCAAAGAGAAAAAAAGTTATTTCAATTATTTGCCTCTCGATAATACTAAAGGTAACGTGATAAATAAAAAAATGTTCACAGACCATTGATTTCGTTTTTATTAGCACCTAAGTCATGAGTTGAGAATTTTAATCAATTTTTAAGCTTGACTTGATATCCAGCAAAAAAAAAAAAACATGGGTGAAGTCAGCGTGCAGGGGGATTGGCCAATAACATCACTGTTGTTTGAAAAGAACCAGTCACAAATAATCACAATTTAAAGAAATCGCATAAGTAAATCATTTCTCATTGAAGGAGGCAATACAAACTCTGACTGATGATAACATTTTAATAAGGTGTGCGCTCACTAGTCTAGGGGTAAGTTAGGCGACGACGGGAGCTCGCATAAGTAAATCATTTCTCATTGGAGTAGGCAGTACAAACTCTGACTGATGATAACATTTTAATAAGGTGTGCACTCACGACTGGTCTAGGGGTAAGTTAGGCGACGATGGGAGCTCGCATTAAGAAATCATTTCTCATTGGAGTAGGCAATACAAACTCTGACTGATGATAACATTTAAATAAGGTGTGCGCTCACGACTGGTCTAGAGGTAAGTTAGGCGACGACGGGAGCTCGCATAAGTAAATCATTTCTCATTGGAGTAGGCAATACAAACTCTGACTGATGATAACATTTAAATAAGGTGTGCGCTCACGACTAGTCTACAGGTAAGTTGAGGGGACGACGGGAGATCATTTCCTGCCCAGCGTCGCAGTCATTGGAGCTGCCTGCACCAGCGTGCTCTGGGTGCTAATTGGCACCAAGAATTATTAACAAGACTTCCTGAAGATTTAAATGAAGGAATTTGTAATACGTGGGTGTGCGCCAGCACTTCCCATTCGTATATAGTCAATACAGGCAACATTTTAAGGGGTTTAAGCGCACGGAAATAATGTTGCATCCGTCTAAGTATGCGATGAAAGACGGAAATGCAGAATATGTTTATTCATGTTGGATAATTAGATGTTAGGGGCTGCTAAGAATGAAAATAGTTTATTAGAATATTTTTTAATCTTTCGAAAACTGATTCAGCAAACAGAAAAAAACTTTGAAATGGAGGAATAGATGACGTATTGATAATAAATGGATGTAAATGATCGAAAAATATGATACTGCAAAGCGTTGCATATACCAGTTTGGCTTTTAAAATAGCAATGATGGTGGGCATTTCTAGAACTCCGACATTATCGTAGCGAGGCGAAATGTTAACATCAAAGTTCAAGCGGTGCTGCTGGCGGCAAAGCATCCCGCCATGTAGGTGCAGTTAGCCCTCTTGACCATAACGATTGAGTTTTTACAGACATCCGCGAGTGTGTTGCAATACAGGCAGTCCATGATCACACACGAATGGCTTATAATCTTTCGTCGGGCAGCAAATAATATGATAACTTAACTGTTATCAGGCAATGCAGTTTTTAATTCATGAACAGGCATGGTAATGATGCACCAGTTGTGGTTGAAAGTGAAACCAGTTGCGAGGAGCAAGTTAAGGAGAACGTCGTCGGCGGTCTGTTACAGATCATTTCTGGTCTTCTCCGTTGCTGCTTCCTGTCAACCTTGAGACTGGTAAAGCCGCAGCTCTCGTCGGCTATATATAAAGCTGCGTCAGCTCCTGCCACTCATTACATTGCGAGGCTTGGCTCAGAACGCACGTCAACATGATTCAGATTGTGAGTGAACTTTTTAGGATTAAGATATTGTGATTAACCTGGTGACGAATTGGTTGTGCCCCTCAATTAATATGCCGCATTTTTTCAATTACTATGTGATGGGGTACAATATCGAGAGATTGGAAACATATATGCAATGTCCGATTAAAATTTTCTCATAGGCATTGTGGAAATAAAACACTCGATTTTTTATTGACACCACTCATCTTTGCATAGATACAAAAATTATTGCGTAACTTGTAGGTGTCCGCTTATCTTCTGAATCTTATATTTATTTTAGGTATTTGCGACATTTCATGCATATATTGTAACGTTGAACAAAGTTGCTTCCATTGAATTACTAACTACTTGAATTATTCAAACATTGAACGCTTGTAATAGTAGTTATCTCAAAATTTTTGCAGAAGGATTTAAGGAACGATAATTTATCAACAAAGTTACTTAAATTTGTTTGACTTTTTGAATGCATATATTTTCAAGAAAAAACCAATCCTCTTAATCGCTGGAAAATTGCCTTTCACTAATGTTTCATTACTTTATCTTTTACTATATATTCGACTTCAATCATATGTTCGGACTATCGCTCGTATCGTATGTGCTTTAACTTCTTCAGAACTGCTAACTTTTGTACACATTAATTTCAATAGTGGGATCAATAGACAACATACATTTTTTCTTACATAGTTTCGACTCTAGTTTCATCGAACTTAATTTGTACATATTTATACAATTTGCGTCCGTATATATATATTGTTTTCGTATGTTTTAATTATTCACAATTTGAAGCGAGGTCCTGACTTGTTGTGTTCGTGTTGCAGATTCTTGTAGCAGCTCTGTTGGGCGTTAGCTATGCTATGCCCCAACAGAGGGCTCTTGGTGCGGGTGCCGCGGCTGAAAATGTCGCAGGAAACCCTTTCACCAGAATTCTCTCGTACGAATCATACCAAGACGGCGCTAACTTTGGACATCAACTATTCCAAGAAGACGGAACGACATCAGGGCAGAAACAAGGACCCGACGGCCTGCTCTACGGCTTCTACTCGTACGTGCAGCCTGACAACAACCGCGTGAAGGTTTACTGGCGCGCAGGACAAGGCATCGGCTACGAAGTCCTCGGAGTCGAAGGACTTGTTAAAGAAAACCTTGGTAACCTCCAAGCCACTATTTCAGCCTCAACACCGCCTCCTGCTCCTGCCAGACTTCCCGTACAACAGAACACCTTCATCCCACCCGCCCCTACTCCCCCACCCCCAACCCAAAGTCCTATTCCTCAGCCAGCTCCTCGAGCCCCAGCTCGCCTCATCCCTAACAATCCTATCCCCGTAGTCCCTATCACCACCACCACTGAATTCCCACCCCACAGATTCGATTACCCCGCTACCCTTAACCTGGAGAGAACCGCCAACGGTTTCTTCTCATCCCTCACTGCCACTAGATAATCTTGCTTCCCCTCAAATCTTCTTTAAATTATCCATGACAAGACACACACGTGTGCCTCAACCGGCGCGTGTGCCTCAACCCGCCCTCGCCAAGCGGTCCTGTCAGGCAGTCCTCTCAGCCTCACGGCTCAGTGTGTTTCCCTGGCAGACGCAGCCCCCGTTAATGTATATACATAAATAAAGTTGTTTTACAGATTTCTTGGTTTTATGCCCCATACCAGATATATTTAACGGATTAGTTCAATGATCTTGTAGCATCACAACTTGTGATATCTGCATTCATATGAGACATTCCCAATAAAATTAAATGATCATAGAAATGAAATATAACAGCTTAGTCTAACGTATAATAGCGCACAGAGCAATATGAATGATAAACGGCATGACACGACGAAAAATAAATAAATCACACGGAGCGATATGAATGATAAATGGCATGACACAACGAAGAAACGAACCAAAGTAAAATCAACCTATCATGAAAAGTATTTGCGCCACATATAATTAATTCAATTCGACCATGCATAGTAAAGATCATTCGAAATTGTGTCCAATTTAACATCTTAAGAAACAATGGAGAGTACCTATACACTTTATCTCATGCGACCTTTTCATGCGGAGGCGGCAGCTGCGCTTTGTGTGCATAACGCTACAATAGAATGTCACAGCTCGAGAGCAGGCGGCTCGAACGCACTTATTGTGAGCAAAGGTCTGCCGTTACTTTTATGGTTAGAGGTAAAATTTCTCCACCTCATGACCGGAAAACAGAATGAGGACGGGTAGTGCAATTAGTCACATTTACTGCAAGATTTGCTCCGCGGAGAACGAAAACAATTTTTTTTCAGTAAACACCATTCCTAAAAAAGTTGACCTTGAAGTTAAGTTGTAACTAGTGCTTTAAGATTGCAAAATGGTATTGTTAAAGTTCACGATCATGCTGGAATTATTTCCGAGAAGAATGGATCGAACCCGAAAATGTTGGTATAGAATAGATTGTTGCCACGTTGGTATAGATTGCGTAATACGGAGTTTGATAAACGACGCAGTTTGAAGAAGAAGTGGGCATATAAAATAAAGAATTTCATCGCATAGAAGCTTAATAGATTGTTATAATATAATTGCGGTTTCAAAATCTTTCAAGCTTCATGAGTTTCTGCACTTGATCGCATCTGCCTTTGCAGTCACCATCTGGTCACATAATGAGAAAAATGAATGGGCGAGGTTGTCCAAATAATGACATGCTTTCTGCACGTAGCATTAATTCACATGCCCATTTGCCAGGGGCAAACTGAATCAGGGTGACCCACACAAGGCAAAAAGTGCATCGCTATTCGGACTAAATCTCTCTCATTTCTCTGCATGCATGACAAAACTTAGTTACGCGGGCAGCAAGACACTAGCTGCTTGCTGAGTAGCTGGGCCACGTCCCAACTGTACGCGTCTGGGGGAATTTACTTCCACACAAACTGCATGTTGTGCAGCAAGAAAGTTTTGAGCCGGGGAACTACCTTACGTAGTAAGGTAGTAAATGGTAGGTAAGGTAGTAACAGTAAAATGTAACAAGTTTCTCGTGACTGAACTTCTTGAAAATTGTAAGAATTTTAGATTACAGCGTGGATTTCATATACTAGTTTGTTTTAAAGGGAACTATTGTGTTTCAAAGCGCCTTTAACAAACGTGAAATTTTTATATAATATATAAGTAAGTTCTTTCAAGTCAATAACGACGTAATTTGTTCTCTTGCAATTTTTCCTAGCTAGATTGAAATCTGCATGCAACCAAATCAGTTTATCATAGTTATTGTTATCATGGTTATTGTGATTTCCGTACTTCAGAGCGACATGCATGTATGCAAGTCGAGAGCAATTATCAACCACAAAAAGCGTCTATGACTTCACGATTTGACAAGTTTTGGAATTTGGAGGTATCAATGAATGGTAAAAATTCTGAAGGTATGAAAGAGGTTAAAAGATGAGTAATTTGAGAAGAATGCATTATTTTTACAGAATGAGATGATTAGGAGCAAGTTCTAATACGGTGGCCTAAAATATGTTTTAATATTCATAAATTTCTTTCTATGGAGCAATATTTCGTTTCCAGTAAGTAATAATAAGCCGATAGATTTGAAACAACTGCCGAACCATTCATTATCAGGAAGAAAAAATTCAAAATATTTTTGACTCCGCATGAATGCACACAATAAGCCTGATCGATCTAATCAGACTGTTAAGCTTTGCACAATTCAATTTTGTCGGAACGCAAGGTTGTACCTGCGTATTTTGTCCAACATTAAATGCCAAGGACGTTTAACTGATCTCACAAGTAACCCTTCAACCATGCATTATCTGATACTATGTCCTGGACCCTGGGCATCAAGGCAGCCACAGCATCACGGTACATTTTGGTTGTCTGTGAGAAGCTATATTACCTTGAAATAAAACTGGCTGCACAGTATAATATGGGGGAGAAATAGTGAAATCGGTGTGGGGCATCGGAAACATTTGACATATAATTGTTAATTTTAGATTTTGAATTTGGTTATTTATGTTATTTATGTGAAATTCTGCTCTTGGGAAAGCATTCATACTGGGAAATACTGGTTATACCAGTAATAAATCGTCGGTTTCACTGCTACCGTGCAAGGCGAAGGCAAAGTCGCACCGGCTAGACGTCGAGACTAATCAGGCGCCAAATATAGCACGAAAAAATCTTTTTGCTTATCTCAAACAGCAGCAGATCACACGTAGTCGACGTATACGAAGCACTAAAAGAATATCTCAAGGTTAAACTGTGTTTAGTTTTTCATAAAACCGCTCAATTATATGAAAATAGCATGACTGTATCGAGACTATTTTTTGAGAAAAATAGGTCGGCTGCCTAAAAAGTTGTGAATAATTTACTGAGCAGTTAATGGAAAAGTTTATTATAGTCGCATTAAATGTGTGCTTGAAAGGACAGGTGCTCAGATAACAGATCATGTTTCTAATACCGAACTCGTCCAGTTAAAAGACTCGTAAAAATATCAAGCCGACGTCATTTGATTTGTGGAAGTGTTTATGGACCAAATAATCAGATAATTAGCTCACAGAACCAGATTTATACTTTGGAACATGTCAGCAAATACGGGCAAGCTTGATAAACTGCCTAACTAACTGCTACTATGATAGCTCTAATACAATAGATACAGTAACGCGAGGTTGTTGTAAATAAAATGTGCGGCCATAAAAATGCAAAATGTAGCGCGTTGTTGTTGTAAAATCCAATGTTGGGCCACCTATATTTTAATTGCGGTTAAAGTTCATTTTCCCATGGAAAACGATACGTAATGCAAATTTGAATCCAACTACAATCAACACATTTCCCTGAAAGACGCTGAGCCGTTTTAGTCGAGTATTGGGTGGTCGACCTTCACAGCAATATCGGGAGGCATTAAGATCAACAAAATGTTGATCAAGATAAAAATCAAATGATGGCCCACCCATAATTATGATTCTGGTTAAAGTTCATTATTCCATGAAAATCGATATGAAATTCAAATTCAAATTTAAGTACAATCTACTCATTCTTCTGAAAGGCGCTTAGCTAGCGTTGCGCGCGTTCGAGTATTGGATGGTTGACCTTCTTAATAATAGGGAGGAGTGAATAAACAATACGGGCTTTTACAACACTTTATTTGATGTTTTACACACATTGAACAGGAACAGAACAATGCGCTATTTCCTCGTCACAGAAAAACTCGCACTGTCTCTGTCTCATCAGCTAGCAAGGCAACGGGCCGTTGTTTATAGATTTTGTTTATAAGCATATATTAATTTGCAGAAATTACTCACTTACATGGAACCAACTTAATCAAATACAAATTTACAGTTGGAGAACTCGTCAAAATACCGGTTAAAAAAGTAATCATTATTTCCATTTTGATTCGAGAAATAATGAGATGGAGAATCTATTATCAAACAAATTAGTAATATTTTTAGTCAACTATCAATAGTATTTCATCCTCGCAAACACATCCCAATAATCTCTGGAGTAATTTTAGAAGTAAGGAAGCTCAGCGTGACCTCGTGGCGAGCGCAGTTGTTTTGTATATTGATTAGTGTAAAGACGACCTTAGCTATAGGGCAGAAACAATTGAGCGAATAGATGAAACTTTATGCTGGATTATTGTACGAATTCTACCTTAACTGCACGATGCGTGACGAAAATACAGGGAGTAACATTTGATTGTTAGCTCCTAATTTTAAGTTGCAATTCATGACAATAAATGTTGCAATAATGAAAAGAGAATGCAAATTATGCATGTCTTGCAGAGTTGGATAGAGAAGAAAAAAATAACAATACAAATTATTGGGGTGATGACGGCAAGGAGTCGAATACAGAAAATGTGTATAAGTTATGAATAAAATGAGGCGATCCTGATAACAGCGCGTCTAGAGTGTATAGCTGGACAATACTGGGACTCTGCATGAAGATAGCGAAAATAAAACGTGTTGCAAGAGTGAAGATACTAACGAGTAGCCATGAAAAAACGAGGTGAATGTGTAAACTGAATACGATTCTTAGGTGTTGACAAAATAAGGAGAGAGCGTCGACAGAACGAGATGATGGTGTTTACAGAATATGATGATTAAGTGTGGGCAAAATTAGGAGAGAGCATCGAAAGAACTAAGTGATGGTGTTTACAGAATATGATGCTTAGGTGTTGGCAAAATTGGGAGAGAGCATCGAAAGAATGGGGTGGTGGTGTTGGCAGAATATGATGCTTAGGTGCTAACAAAATAAGAGAGAGCGTCGACAGAACAAGGTGATGCAGGTGAGTAGTAGAAGGAAGTGGTGGCAGCTTGAAGGCCGGGAGTAACGGGGACGCGCAGGTCTAACTCACTTCTAGGAAGTGATCGCCCTTCATGATGCCGTCTCGCCCACTGGCCACAAGCAGGATAAAAACGCGTCGTGTGGCTTGCGGAAATGATCTCGTCGTCATGTGGAATCCCAATTTGAATGTGCTTCATAAACTGTCCCATTATGTTTAGAGATAATTATGACAAATTAATAGTGTATTGAAATGAGACGAAAAATCAAATATTTTTATCTTCGTTCCAATTTAAAGAAATGCCTGCACCAAAGACTAGAAAACGAATACTTTTATAGAAGTCATCAGTCTCTTCAGTTATAACGGCAATCCTTATTCCTTAATAACAATGTGTTGCCTAATTAGCAGTGAATTTGAAGCTGTGTCCAAGGGAATGTCGCGAGAAGTCAAGGCTGGCGGGATAATCGAATAAATTGATTGGCCCCCTAGGGGTGGTGGTGGTTGGGAGAGCTTGCCTAAAAACGGGCAGAGGAGCTTGATGGATGGGTTGAGGAGCTTGGTGGATGGGTTGAGGGGCTTGGTGGATTTGTTGAGTGTGATGGACAGGTTGTGGCAGGGCTCTGGGAACTTGCTGGACAGGAGCAGCAGGACGTGGTTGGATCACGGAGTTGTCGATAAGAGAGTTAGCCAAGTAGTTGGAATTAGTGATCCTAAAGCCGATGCCTGCGCCAGCCTCAAACTCGACACGAAGGATTTTGCCAGTTTCGTCAGGATACTCCCAGTAGCCTCGCCTGATGCCCTGCTGATCGGTTTCTTCTTGATACTTGATACCATCTTCCTGGTTCCTGTAGTTACCGAATGCAGCGCCCTCCTGGTAACGCTTGTCCTGAAGGATCTTGACGTGGCCAGCCTCGTACTGAGCCGCCGCCACGCCAACTATCGCCAGGATCACGGCCTGCCGCACAAAAAAAGATAATGAAATCATAAATAAACGCGCTGTCAGCAGCGTCGGTACATTTGTCTTCGAAAAAGTTAGCTGGATACAGTAATCCCAATACCTTAGTAAAACTTTTATTATTTATAATATGTAATACGGTAGTAAATAACATTTAGCCCCAGTACAGATATATAACCAAGCGTAAAATTTGATTGCTTGTTGAATGATAAATTATCTTATTTCGAAGTCGTCAAACAATCGGGCAACAATCGTCTGCCTTCTCAAGAAAAAAAAAAAACGATTTTCTTAACGAATATCAATGATATTTATCCTCACGATTTCATTAAACTCTACACAACTGTACGTTAATTAAATCGGTATTTGTTCTTGACACAATTTGGATAAGAAATTTGATGCTCGCAGATAAAACGATGAATACAAATTTTGCAATTACGCAATGCTCGGATAAAAGCATAGAGAAATGCGTGATTGTCACCAAATATTTCATGCGATTTAATCGCTTAGTTATTCTGTAAAAGTCTTGCCTATGATTGAGTGATGCATGCAAGGAAAAATGCCCCAATATTATTGCGAATTAATTATACATTGTTAAATTGTGACTAATACAATGACATCAAACAATAGGTGAATAAGTCGAGGACACCTACCAGAGATCTCATGTTGCCAATGCAAAAGTTGATGCTAGACTGAGTGCAGCAGGTGCGTAAAGGTCCTCTATATGAGCGTGGCCTTCACTTCACGACTGACGCAGGGAAACGTACGCAAAACGCCCAGAGCTGCCTAGCACTACACCACACCAACTGTAATAATTATATTCTGTCTCCAGCGACATACTCCCTAATCGTCCTATCTTTTTCACCTGCCGAAGGGAGAAGATATTTTAGCCGTTGAGACTCATCGCAATTTCAAGAACGCGGTAGGAAGGATGTAAGTACAATAGGAGTGATTAAAATATGTTGTAACGGGCTGCTGAATGTGACCTAAACAACTGGACACGCGTGAGACCCACTGCCTTCTTCCACATGCAAAACCAATAGGCTGTGTTGGCCTCCGGCCTGCAAGTCAAATTTGTAAAGCATTGGGGGACGAGCCAGGCCGTTATCATTACCTCATGCTAGCGCAATGTGCACGGTTCAAGCTTCGTGTAATAATAATTGTGCAAATAAGAAGGTCATCAAGTACGAGTAGATGCCGTCGAAGTGCGTAAGCACTATAGCCGCAGTCGCTGATTTTGGAGCTTGGATCCTTGAGCGTCGTAGCGGTGAGGCTATCATGGATGCCTTCAGGCTCTTAGAGTACATTCTTCGTGACGTACATCAGTGCTGACGTGCATCCCTTAGGATTACATCAGCTATGGTGTACATTCTTCTTGACGTACACCTTGAGACGCACTTCAGCTTGACGTACAACCCCCCAGTATATAGAGCGCAAAAGCCAAATATTCATATTCTCACGAAAAGAGCAAATCAAAGAGCTTGTAAGGTAGCAGTTTCAAAAGCTCAAGCAATACCATGACAAATAACACTACGACACGCGAAGTATTTGCACTTCTACAATAAGACGTCAATGAACATTCGATCAAAAGGATCCATGCAACGTGGTTTGTATCAACATCGAAAACCCGTAAATGCTGTGCCAACTCAGACATCCATTATTGACAGGTGTGCTGAAAAAGCACAATAAAGGAATATTATTATTTCATGACATTACTTTGCCGGAATACAGCAATAGAAATGGCTGCTGAAGAACTGGACTGCAGTACGGTCGTAGATCATCTTAGTGGTGCATCTTTGTCATGATTAGTGATAAAATTAAGTTGCAAAAAGAGTTGCAATAAAAATTTTCCATTTACAAGGCATGATGTCGGTGGCAAAGAGTCACAAATTTAGTGTAGTTCATAAATTTATACATGCGTCATCAAATTAATATATGATAAATTAGTCAACTTAATACCATAGTGCATGTTGGTGCAGAGTACATTACAACAACTACCGAAAAACGGGCGTGAAGGTTACTTCCGTGTAACGGAATAGAGCAATTCTGATACGGTATGTCTGCGTACGCACGCCAATCTCAAATTAACAGCACTTGATGATGGCTTTGCATACCCTTTCATAAACTTATTCGCTTCCTCTACTTTCGATTGTTCGATTTAAAAAATATTCTTAAATGTGAATTATTTGGAACACGCAGGTTAGTTAATCCGTGGCAAATAAACATAATTAATACAGTTATACCACAGCGTTAAGGAAGGTACGTATGCATCAGCGGTCCTTATAAAATGTTCTCCCAATTTTCACATCCAGTCACGGACGGGTAGGCTGAACAAAGATGAGAGTAGCAACTAGCAAGCATGTTTGAGACAATGTAAGTAAGTGTTCGAGACGATGGTGAGAAAGAGGGAGGTGAGGGAGGTAGGGCCACAACTCTGCTGGTGGCGGCGGTGGTCGTCATCGTAAGAGCACGAATTGCTTCAACTGGAACAGCGCCTCATAATCGAGGTGGCCCTGCATGTCAGTCAAATCGATACACTGCAGAAAATATTTTGTGAGGCGTGACTCAAGTAATCAAGTCCGACACAAACGAAGAGGGTGGATTAATTTAAAACTGTTGCTTTCATTTTTATATTGGTTAAATGCTATCTTAGTCGATTCTTCGAGACTTTTATAGTGCTATTTTACCTTAACCACGAAATTTGAAGAAAGTTCCGATTTATAAGCAAGAACGTTTTCCGACGGCAAAACCTCGAGCAAGTTGACAAGCCGACCATTAATTAACTTATCAGAATATGTAAGAGACTCAATAAATACAAGAGTATCTTCAACCTGAATACCATTAAACAGGGCTAAATACAATCGATATCATGGCTCATTTAATTTTAGATTTTTGAATGGGAAAAGTTTCGGAGCACAGTGGGCTTGGGTATCCGTCATTTATGCCGCTCTGTTCAAAAGGAAGCCAAATGTGATGCTTGCGCCACAGTCACGCGCGCACTCGGTGGTGTTTAGTTTGTTTCTCCTTTGATTTCCCCTATACTGACTTTACCCATCGCCCTACTTACTTGATAATTTGATAACTTAGAAATAATGCATCCGCAAACCAATTATTATTTATTCACAAATAACTCATGACTGTAAATTCAACCATGATAAACAATGGCATGAGATACTAGGTAAAAGAAGCTAGATAGAACTCAGCTTTAAATCTGACGGCAGCGGCTCGCGTTCACGCCGAGTATGAGACGCTGTTGTGTTGTGCCGTATTTGTGGTACTGACGCCGCGATTCTTGGACGCTTTTCTTCTCTGCTCGCCGCCGTTTGCGCTAGCTACTTCGCCGGTGACCGACATGACATCATTACTGACTGACGAGTGACCATCAGTCGGTCTTTTCGTTTCTTCAGCCACCTTACTAACGGTGCAACTACGAATAATCTACCAATTGAAATGAACACTAAGCTGTATAGGAATCTACTAAAAAATAACCTAAAACTTACTGGATTAACTGAACTGGATTTAATTCACTCCTTTGATCTTCGTCGCTCGTCCGTCATCATTCGGTACCTATTCAAAACTCGAAAAATGCTGCAAAACGGCATTAAAAACTAGAGCTTATTGGCAGGTCGACAGTGTTTGATGACCAAGAATTAGATTAAGAATGATTGCAACAATTTCGATCTCCTTTCGGTAAATTTGCTTTCTAATTCGTGTAACATTATAAAAACGAGTGTACTTCAAGGAGAATTTATGTTTCAATTGCATGCAAGTGTAGCAATAATTTTTTATGACTAAAATATTAGCATCTATGTTCTGGTGCTCGTCTTAAAAATAAAAAAACATTCAATGGGCCATAAAGAAATTTTTTTTATAATACAAGGAGGAGCTTGGGCCAAGCCGGAGCGAAGCGAGTCCAGTTATACAGATTTATGAGGTGCTATTGGCCTTCATGTCAGTTGCGACCCTTGTGCGACATCGGCCCGAGGTCGAAAACTCGTGTCTCCCACGTTGCCAGCCACCACGATGCTATTGGCCCCTCCCTCTTCCCATCCGCTCAGCCACATTCTTCTTTCTTTCTTATTACGCATGTGCATTTGCATGCACAACAAGAAAATATTGGCTTATGGGCTTCATGTTTCTCTCCTAAGCAAATATTTAAATTTGTGGCGTTGAGATTATTTTTAAGGCAAAAATGTATGCGCTGCAAGAAAAGGAAATTATTACTTGCTTACAAAGGCTTAATTTCCATTTAGAGACGTGGTAACTATCGAGTGTGGATAAAAATTGCAACGAGGCGAGCGAAACGAAAAACTAATTTATAAATGACAATTTCATTGAGATCATCCAAGTAAATAACAGAAATCAGTAGAGAAAAACCAGTGATAAGTACGGATTTCACAGGCATTAAAATTCAATTATTCAATATTTTCCTAAACAACATACGCCAAATTCGTAAACAATTGTTTTAGTTTTCCCCATTTAAAACGACTGAATGAAATACAAAACAATACATTATATATAATTGCGTTACGTGACAAGGTGGAGCGGAGCTGAACAGGTAGGTTCGATCTATGAAGTGCTGCTTGTGTTTGAAGTCGTCGTGGTACTTGCACGACATCTGTTTCAGCACTGAGAGGAAGGAAGATTAAGCGTCTCTCGCTACTCTTTTCTTTCAGTTATCGTGATTATGTATATTGCTGCCTATACAGCCGTCTCGGCAATCTAATCACTAATCGCAGCTTTAATGCAAGAAGTTGAAACACGTTGCTAGAGAATACAATATAAATATAACAACATGGTGACGGCATTTCGGGCAGGCCGTACCTCCGCGATTGACTGACTTATTTAATATCTCATCAAAATACATGCTTAATTCTGACTGAATTACAATATGTAATTTTGAGAGAAGAATGGTAGCACAATATGTTAGTTAGGTTTTACCAAATCATGTACATGGTTATACATAAGCCTAAGGAAGAGTGGTTGAAGGCATTATAGTTATGTTGCGCTGTTCTTGCTGGGAAAACCCCATAGAGGAGGTATAAGATTCAAGCCAGACAGAGACAGTAGATAACGAAAGAGAAACTACATGTTTTTCCTCCAGAAAATATATCAACCGAAATAAAACGAACGCGTAAGGGTAATGGAACCAATCGGTATTGGATATTGATTTGCGCCTCATCCGTGATGATGATAGTTGTTCTAAAGATGGGGACTCGAAATGGATGCTAAAACAGCTCCACCGCACTTCGGATTTTTGATGGTTGGCAACTTACGATGTCGCAGTCCTTCCGGCCTCGCATCTAGCACGCTGCTCGACAGCGCTTCATAAAAGTCGACAACCAAGTCGCAATCAGCTAGTGAGATTAAATGATATGCCAACATAGTTCATATCCTTAACCCTTATGCGATTCCTTAGAGATGTACTGTGAATCTCTTCTTAACTAATGGGCAAATGAAGGTAGTTTTCTTAGAGCTCGCAATACTTTTCATAGACTGACTAGGCTCACATTGTAAACTAATGGATGAACAGCGGTTTTTCTAGGGCTTCCAACACATTTAATATAGAATGATCAGTTAGTTCTGATTCTTCCAGTATCCGATGAGCTCGTAATCACATAATAGAACCGTTTCAACAGGAATTCGAGCTCCTAATCGACAATATGAAGGAATTCCACATTAACGCAAGCGACATCGGCGTTGATCAAGTGAATTTGAGCTATGAGGTGCTATTCTTGGTGGAGAAACTTGTAGTCCTTGTGCTACACCCAAACGTTCTGTCACAGCTCAGTTCTCCTTTTCCGTTGTAAACAATCCTCATTCCCTAAACTTCTCTCTAATGCATCATCTCAGCCGTCAATAATCAGAACTAATACTTTTTTATTCAAAACTGGTAGGAAACACTAATGTACACTTGAATCTATCAGACTCCTGTTTTAAACATTATTATAGCTTACTTAAATGTAATCGACAGAGTCACAACTGAGAACATAGGTTTATGATTTGCTGTTCGGCACGCACAGCATGACTCACCTCACTGCCACCACATTCCCAAGCCTGCGTGCGGCAACGTCGTCGCACTACTTACAAACCACATACATACATGCACTAACTACACTACCTCTACTACAATTTACAAATAATTCCTATCATTCATTGATAGGAATCGCTGACATGGTTTGTTCCCTTCTACGACATAAGGTACTCTAATTTACATTTTTTGCGCAATGGCTGGTGGCTGCTAAACAACCACACGCGTTTCTCCATTTTTCCCTATCAATTACAACGTTAAAAACCACTCAAACATGATTACTGTAGCAAGCATATAGACCTCACTAAATACATCAAGCCTTTTATAGCAAGACCACTTGTTCTTCGATAATATTATTCTTCTTTGGACAAAGAAACAAACGATAGCAAACAATACTTGTGTCTGTTTCGTGCCTGCGCATTTTTTATCTATCCTTTCAGTCCACTCCGCTGGAAGCTGCGTTGGCTGCGCACAGATCAAATATTTCTCAAAAGGCAAAAGCGCTTCATAAAACCCAAGGTGCGTGCCTGCCCAGGGTCTGATCAGAGCCCAACACGTTTGATGTGATGATGTTTCAAGACAAAATTGTAACACGTATTGGTTAAATTTACTATGACTTCCCGGTTATTTTCAGTTTTTGCTATCGTATTTAACATTATTCCATGAGAAGCAATTCAATTTTCGTAGCTCATACGCACGACAAAATTTATAAACTTACAACAAAGATAACACTAACTTCTTAATTAAAATTAAGTAGGTCACTGTAGGTGACACGGCAGTGAAACTTAAAATAGTAAAAAGCAACTTGCAGTTTGCGTGCAGATCGTTTAAAAATGCAGTAGGCCAGTATTTTTTAAGCATCAATCAGACGCTTCAGAATGATAATTCATTCTAAAGCGTCTTATTTATTATAAGATTGATGAAAATTTATTCATCAAACGTCGTTTCGGTTGATCGCGTGAATTCTAAACTAACTGAACCGCGAATTAAAAAGCAAAACAGGAAAGGTAGGTAAGCGCTATAGATGCCACAGTTTTTAATTCAACAAACAGAAATTCGTCGAAAGCTTGAAATTTCAATTCAAATCATACCGGCATAGAAAATAATTGAGATAGCCCATTCTTAGAAGTTTTCTATGGTGATAGAAGTTGTACATAACTTGCAGCGTACAACGAAAATATTTCATTATCGCTCTCCGCTCATCTTTCAATGAATAACATGTAACATATACAACGTGATCCTGCAAGCGTTGCATATACTTCGTTTTTTAGCTGCTTGGTTAGAGACTACTAATACATAATGGAGTGAGTGTCTTTATTTAGTTCATGGATAGGTTGAATAAAATTTTCTTTGTTGGTGGTAATGTGAGACGGAGAGTTGTGTCGAAAACTTGATCAACAACAGCAGCGCATAACTCTATGTGAGCAGCTGTACTTCAGTCTTCAACTACTCCAGTTGAAACCTTTTCATTCAATTTTTATCACAAAATGAGATTATCATTTCCTCTTCCAGCAATACAGCCACTGTTTTTAATGTTACTCGTCAAAAATTCAATATTGAGGTGCAATTTCCTTATTTCCACTTGAAAAAAGACAAAGCAGCGGTTATTTGAGTTAGTAATATGACTTGACAGTTAATTATTAGGCTGACAAAAAGAGCTGTTGCTCGGCTTTTGTCTCTTGACATGTGTACGCTATTGTTTTTTTATTTAGAAATAGATACTAGCTACCTCAATCCAATCCCATTTCCAATAGCTATTGTGGATGGGGTTTAGGCGGTTGTCTTAATAATTCAAAATAAAAATCATATAAGATAAAATGAACACAGAATGGTCTGCAGAATTTTCTGAGAGGTCAGCTTGATAACAAAAGTATCACGTAATCGACCAATAAAGAATAAATTGTGAGATGGTCTACAAATAGTTTATGAAAGAACATTTTCTATCATATACCTACATTCGTCAAAGTATTAGTAAATTTCGTTACCAGAAGCTAATGCTTTTCACGAATTTAACGTGAAATTGTTAAACAGGGGGAGTTTGGGAGACAGCAATAGCTGGCTGTCGTAGACAAGTAAGTGTGAAGAGAAAAATATCGAGCAGTGAGAGAGTTGACAGAAGAAAATGGGAAAGGAGGGGGGAAAGATAGGGGAAAGGATGGAGGGAGAATGGGGGGGGGGGGAAGGAGTCGCATGAGCGAGCGTCCAGCGTTCGAGGCCTCGGCACAAAGGCCACAACTGCCTCCCTTTCCAACAGCGCATCATAACAGCAGCGAATCGGCGCGCTAACAGATTCGGACGGCTTAGAGAAGACGTTTGTTCACACGCTCTAAATTCCCTTAAAAACTTAGAAAACATACAGTAATGTTAGAAAAACATCTAAAGGCTAAGTAAAATTCCTACCACATACTATAACATATTTTTTTTTTACATTTTTTATTCAATATGACTTGGGGCATTAGTGGATGTGGCATATTCTTAGATGACGAAAACGTGGCTTTAGCGACGTAGTGATTCGATCAGACAAAAAGCTCACATTTTTCACCCCACGTGAATCATTGATTTTTAAATTTACGCTTAAACATTCACATTCAAGTAGTAAAGAAATAATAAAGGGCGAACATGACTTACTGTGTTCCTTTATAGCATTAATCGCTACTTCCCTCGTTCATTGGCATCGATTTTCAGAATAGTTGAGTCTTAGGTAATTTTTTGAGTAAGAAAATGGTTCACTGGTGGGACTAAAAAGGAAATGCGGTGAACACTTATTATTTGAAGATCATGATCATGTATTACCAAGTAATGAGGAATTTCCCAACATTTTTACACTATTTAATTTATCTACAGATTTAACGGTGCTTCAGAAACAGTAAGAACACAACGTATTCAGGATTAAACTAACACTGTCTTTCATATATCCTAACAGACTAACATTAGTAACAAGTAACAACTAACAACAGGTGTGGCCGACACCGACACACCGTCACCGTGTCGGGATGGAAGTCATGGAACTAAGACTTGAGTGACTCAGGGTTCAGGAGCTTATAAACCTTATGAGTTATGACTAACCTTATCTTGCAAATGAGATTTGTCCAAAACAAAAAATCTACTTTAAAAATTAAACAAAATATCCCACATTCGAGTTCGCACCATCGTAGATTCGTAGGTACAGCCTACGGGCTTGATGAAACTATTCGGTCCACTCAGCTCTTATAGTTATACCAACCTAATTGTGAATGGAATAAGAATTAAGCTGAAACCTTGAATTTATCAACTTTTTAATAATAATAATTTTAGTGTCAGCCGACTCACCAGAATGGAAGTGTGACTAGATTTCTGCTCTGTACTTAGGCTAAAGTAAACAATAGGCCCTTACCACATCATCGAACTGATCGAAGTACAGATAATATTAATATAAATTAAGTAAAGGCATCAGTACTTACCATTATATTCCTTATGCTTTATTGGGCTTGAGTCCATGGCGACAAAAATCCAGCTGGGCGGCACAGGAAGAGTGAAGAGTCGGCTAACTCAACATTAGTTAAAATTTGATTTCTACACGTTTTACCGGAAATGAGAGCAAGCTGTAAAAACTGGTATAAATTTATCAAATCTATCCAATAAGCAAACTGCAGTGAAGGTTTATTGGTTTATGTTTCAAGTGTTAACACGACCTAATCACTAATTGCACTGAAAAATACTAGTACAACGAGTAACGTTCCGGTTACCCGTACTAGACTATTCCGTTTTGTCTTAAATTTGTATGATTATGAAAGTCACTTATGTACAGAAAAATTAATAGATACCCGCGAAATTCAAGTTCACCCATTTGTGATGTATTCTTTATGGGCAATAATCATGAATAATGTGTCTAAACTTAGCAAACACTAGCTCCTGTCGTATGCATTCACGCGCGCTCACTTACGGCGATGAACGTTAACACTAAACAGTACAGTCGCTGAGTCGAAGTCGATTTTCGAATGAAACGATGTTACCATAATATTGCAGTAAAAATTCAGTCTGAAGCAAAATCATGATTATTGTTTTTGTTGAAAAAACTCCCGAAATAAAAAATTACAGGATATAGTGATGAATAATTCAACATTAAATGAGTATTTTTTGAGATCGTCATCAAAAATGCTGTATTTGCGCGGCGAGACTTGGCTGTGCACAACTGTAGTCATAGCGGCGCAGTTATGCGCAACTAAAGCTCATTTTAAGCACTCGATCGACAATTCTACGGACTCGCCAGCGGACTCGCGCAACTGGGCCGCTCATAATTCCTTCAATACTTAACGGATTTGCATGAATTTTGGAATGTGAGTATTAATTATTGATACGCTGCCGCAGGAATTATTACAGATTTTTACATGAATTATTTTTTAATTAAAACCAATAAACATATTTTTTAGCTCCCCGGTGTATCTCTAGTGACNTCCCTCTAGCCCCCCCCCCCCGACAGACACATATAAAAACAAACGCCTCTTTCTTGATATTTAGTACGCCACAATTTTGAAAGAGAAAAGTTACAAATAGGTATTTCGCAAATAGAACGACATTTAGTAAAGCAATATATTTTTTTTACAGTTTTAACTGTTTCAGCACGAGAAATTTATGACGGCCCGGACAAATTTCCGGCCGGACTCGTGGCCGGTCTCGCATGCAGCCGGTCTCATTGCCAATCTCCAAATTTAGTGACCAAGGAATATCTCCCAAACTAATGAACGCAGCGCGATAAAACTTGGAACACGTATTCATTAGGACCCAACGGTGATGTTTAGCTTGTGAAAAATTTTAAATTTCACCTTCATTCGGGTGTTATATTATATGACGATTAACAGGCCGAAATTCGCAGTGATCAAAGAATTTTTTCCAAACTACTAAACAGATTCGAACGAAATTTTGAATATAAATTCCTAACTAACAAACGGTGATTTTTAGCTTGCGAAAATTTATTCAATTCCGTGTCGTGCTCTGCACGTGTTGCGTGCAAATCGTCAAACAAACGTATAAGAACTTCTGACTTCGACTTCTCGGACTGCCGCCCCCCTACTGCCCCTTTCTTCCTCACCCCCCCCCCCTTAAGTAATTTTGGATTTGAAATTCCTCATGAACTCATGAAAGTACTTTTATTTACGGGCGCGAAATTTATTTGTAACGATTATTATTGAGCTGCGAATAATATGTTAAAATAATCAATTCATAACAAAATTTTAGCAGGGATAAAATTTCTGCGCTTAAAATCATTAAACAGTGGCACGTAACATAAATCAATCTGACATGATAGTAATAACGAATAATAACACGCGCACTATGACACTATCTATAGTTGCGAGGACCACCACGATTGTTGAAGCATTTCCATCGTCATTTGTTATGCTATATATTTACACCATCGTGTACATATATTTCGGTACATAAACATTTAAAGAGATCAGAGTGATTATAAAATGAAGATATAAATTACTGGCTTTGCAAAGATTACAAATCGCACCATTAAATTGCAGCAGAAAACGGTGGTCGTTCAAAACCGCACTGTCGCTGTCTGCGTCTCGTAACAGACACGTAGAAAACCAATACGTACTAACGTATTTCATATTGAGTCGCATGTGATGATTAAATAGATATTAATAATATATTCAATACGAAGCACAACATTAAACTCGGCAGAATGACTTATCACTCGTTCACACAACCTATAGGCTATAGCCTGTCACTCGCCTGTCACAACAACCATGTCCGTAATAACGTGTCCGCAGTAACCATGCTCGCAATAAGAATATAGGATATAATAATATGCGTTTAAAAATTACTTTTTAATGACAACACTTCTAAAGAGGCCAGTGTTTCCGGCGTTACACATGTACAAGTAAAATGAATTTCTTACTTTACTTTTATATATTAAAAAAATTTAAATTTTATTTAATATTAAATTTTTTCTTCAATTTTTAAGATTGTTCATTCTGTCAATGGATTCATGCATTGTCTCTGACTTTACGAAATATATCAATTGGACAGGTAAAAGTGTGTTAAATATCGATTATAAGATTTGTAGCAGACAAACAACAGAAAATGAAAAGTTAAAGAGAAGTGTTGTAAAAAATATGAATAATAACCAAGCTCATAATCTGCAATTACAGAGTCCGCCAAAACTACTATGTCCGCAATAATCACGCGGACCTTGTGTGGTGCTGCATCCGCTGATCGAAAAATTTATAACACGGCTGCACTTGGTTTCGTCACAATTGTCTTGAACTTTAGAAAAACACTCAGCGGCCGAGTAGGGACTAAACAAGTGAGTGATTGAAATTTCCAAATTTCAATTTTAAGAAGAATTTTAACATGCCAGGGATAATCTATCACCATCATGGCATCATCGCAGCGTTACGCGGCTATGTGAGTTCAGACATGCATGCTAATTTGCATTTAAAAATAGACTCATCTGTTGCCTTGCCTTTGTGCGCGATCGGGCAAGCCACGGATCAGTCGTTATAACCTCTTAATCGATAACAGGTTAATCTTATAATCGTTACCCTAAAACTATGGATTAGTCGTTTGCCAATTAGTATTTATCGATGTATGAGGAAATGCTATCGTGAAAATATGAATCATTCGCTCACTTGGCGTTGTCAGGGTGTTCGCAAAAGTGTAATTCTGATATAAAAGATCAGTCGTTCGATACTTATTAGTTGTCGAGATATTCGCGTAAGTGTTACTGTGAAACTACGGATACGTCCCTCATTACTTGATGGTTTTCGAGACATTTGTATCGGTGATACCGTGTGACTGGATCGGTTAACATGCACGCCCGTCACCTGCCTTAGTTAGGATGTTTGTGAAAGGAAGTGCCACCCTGACTATGGATCAGTCGTTCGCCACTTCGGTGTTGTGAGCGTGCTCGAAAAACGCTGTCACAAAGTGCAGGTAAACAACCATTAGGAATATCGATTCAATATCTAAGGTTGTAACTTTTTTCCTCAGCAAACAAACAAATAAATAAAATAAAATATCATTTACAAAGGAACGAAATAATGGCCTGGTTTGCTTCACTTCACATTTGAGAAATAATCTTACACGGATCACAAATTACTAAAATGGAATAAAATTACCGACAGTAATCGAAACGCCAAACTTGAAGGATACTACGATGGTGAAGCAGACAGCAGCCGCAGATAATTTGAGCCTATCATGAGTTAATTACTGGTGCAGGGAGTATTGATGGTGAAGGATGTGCAGCTGAAACCTTTATTTAGGTCAGCAATGAATTATAACCGGATCACATAAAAGAGGAGAAAGTGTTAGGTGCGCGCGACACGTGTCAAACGGAGCACTCGTGCCTTCTCTTGAACAGCGCCACATAAACGACGCAAACAAGCTTGCACTGTATTGGGGGAGGGAGGTGGGTTGCGGTGGAAGATGAGGGGAAGGGGTTAGGGTGGTGGAGGGGTTTTGGACAAGCGACGGACGCCGGGCGTCAATGCTGATAACATGAATTCGCTTGTTAAGATATGTGCCTTTGAGAACATTCTTTTATATAACATTTCAATATTAAGATATTAAATTAAAGTGTGCATAAAATAGGAGTATTTTTATAACGGAAAGTCGTGTAACAAGTATTTTTTTAGTTAATATTACTCCGAACAATTTAATACGTTTACTGAAGTTGTACCACTATACAAGTTTGTTCAGCTATTATTAACGGAATATACTTGATCTGATTAATCAGAAAGGCTTTTTACCTTGGTGCCGCACTGCAACAGTCTTCCAAGTCATATTAATGGAGAGGACTGACTGGCTCTTGTTATTTTTCTTATTGTTTTAGTAACTAAATAATCGTTATTGGCTTTATATTGATTTATGTTCGACTGAGCAAGTTACCGATGCAAAGACGTCGGATACAAGAACTCGCGTTGCGTGCAGTTATTATCTGAGCATCCCAGTCTTTTTTTATTCCATCATCTTATTTATCAAATATAGACGCATAATAATTAGAAACTTGAAGCCAAATATTTATCACGCAGTACGAAATTGAACACCCATTCTCGGAAATCGTCTTCCATTTCTCAATTTCAAGACCACCGCCATTCGCTTAACCGCTGAAATAAGAATATAGAAAAAACATTCATTTACAGATATTTGCAGTGAATTTGTCACGAAAAGAAATAATGAGACCTATTTTAACATGACAAATTTGTAGGTTACCGTTTTAAAATTAATGTTAATTTAATGTTTGAATTCACTATTTGAAGACTTCTGTAGGTTTGCTTCTTCATGCAAACGTCAGAAAGAGTATTCTGACAAAACAAAACTGTATTTTTAACTGAGCATCAAGACCACTTGAGTGACTTCAGTTGTGATCATCGGATGGAACATAGCACCCGAGTTTTATGTCGCACTGTTGGAATTTCTGTAGTTGGGCGCGGTGAGGTCATTGCCGCTCACTCCCTCTGTGTCCTCCTAGCTGCCTAGCATCTGCAGTTCGCCACGCCCACTACCCGATGATCACTTGTCGATGAACGAAAACCATCGCACTCTCACTACTGTGCCGAGCAAATCCTTCAACTGTTTTCTCTAGAAATTCATAAAATAGATTCAAAATTACGCTGGTTTTGATAATTAAG